TTAGATAGTTGAAGAACCTTGGAAAACAAATTTGCATGTATCATAGATAAAACATAGATCCAAGGTTTCTAGGGTTGTATGTACACCATAGGAGTGTTAGAATGCTCAAAACCCAACATGATATCAGTGATTTGATTGAAATTTTCTAATTAATAGCATCATGTATTCCTGTTTTTCAACATACGATGTATATATAGATATATGTTCAACGTTACCATGCATTAGATGTTGTACCTGTTTCTCAAAACCGGTAATTAAAATCGGCACTCCTCCAAAGTTCATATACTTAGTTTGCTTTTCTTTTCTTAACTGTAAATGCTCATATTAATTGTGAAGTAGATGTATATGTATATATGTTTTCAACATGCACTAGATGTTGTATCTTGTCGGCTATATATTAATATTAGGTCATCATCTTGAATGTATACTTAGTAGGTTTGCCTATGCAACATGTTTGAATTTTATGTGTATGTGTTGGTGTTCCAGATGATCACCTATTTTCAAATCACATTTTTGACCCTAATGTTTGACCAAATGCTAGAAAATGACACACATATTTTTCAAATCACAGTGAATTGTTTACTTTTGCATAAATATTATGTGTACTTGTTGGTGTTCATGGTGTTCCAGTGAGTTGTTTACTGTTGTATGAATATTATTTCAAATTGATGTATCTAAGATTTGTATTGTTTTCTTATGAAGATTCAATGCATGATGGAGGGTCTATAACAAACCTATTAAGTCCAATAAAAGGAATGGGGGCTGAAACAGGTGTTGGGATTGATAATCTGTCATCACAATTAGTACATGGTATGGATCACACAACTACTCCAAATGAAGATATGAAAAGTCAAATTCCTAATGAAAATGAAAGTGTGAGAGAAAAAAATAACGAAACCGGTGAAGATGAAGTACAATTAACGAGAAAACAAAAAAAACATCAAAAGTATGGGAGGACTTTGTTGTAGTTACACTCCGGGATGGTACGAAAAAAGCCGAATGCACTCATTGTAAGTCGAGGTTGGCTATTACTGGTTCAGGTCCTACATCATCATATAGAAGACACCTAAACAGCTGCATCCCCCATAAATAATGGCAAAAAAACCAACAAAAACTAAATTTTCAGCCTAGTGGGTGTGATGTGGATTCTGTGCCACCATTGATCGGACCGGATACAAAATATGATGAAAACAAGATGAGGGACGCCATAGCTAACTGGATACTAAGTACTGAGCAACCGTTTGCTACTGTGGAAGATGCCATGTTTGTGAAAATGATGAAGACAGCTACTTCATTGTTTGAGAAAGTAAGCAGAGTTACAATTACATCAGACTGTTTTAAGGTATACGAGCATGAGAAGAAAAGGTTGAAAGCCCTTACAAAAGCTGCCTCTAAAATCAGTTTAACAACTGATTGTTGGAAGTCCTCGCATCAGAAAATCGAGTATATGGTTATTACTGCACACTTTGTAGATCATAATTGGAGGTTTAACAACTTGCTCAATTTTAATATTTAATTATTTATCTTTTTCTTTCTATCGTATTTTAATTTATATCTCAACGTTTTTCTACAGATTACAGAAACGTGTATTAAGTTTTGTACATGTTCCTCCTCCTCGTACTGCGGTTGATATTGCTGATGGTATTTACAAGTGTTTGCAAGAGTGGGAAATTAAAGATAAGATTTTCACCATCTCAGTTGACAACGCAGCTTATAATGAAAAAGCTTTAAGAAGATTGAAAGAAACTTTTTCGCGTGTAAGAAAACTTTCATGTGGTGGTAGATTGTTTCATATACGGTGTTGCGCACACATATTGAATCTTCTAGTGAAAGATGGTCTTGCAATAATTGATCATATCATCGGTGATGTTCGTGAGGATATAAAGTATATTAACGATTCGGAGGGTAGACGACTAAATTTTTCAAAGGCTGCACATCAAATGTAAATACGTGATCTGAAGTTAATGCTTGATGTTCCAACACGATGGAATTCAACCTATGATATGTTGTGCATGGATTTAAAGTTCAAAGATGCTTTCCCAAGGTATAATTAAATATACCTTAAAGTTTTTAACACATGTTCATATTCACTAACACTTTAATTGTGGTTTTCTCAGGTATGTAGAGTATGAACCACATTTTCATCACTTGCCAACTGACGAAGATTGGGAAAATGTTCAAAGCGTATGTGAAATGTTGAAGGTTTTTAAGGTTTGTGTTTAATATGCATAATATTTTATAAATAAATGATTTTTTTGTTAACTAAATCCAACGATTATGTTTAGGTGTGAACGAATATCATCTCGGGCAGTGATTATCCTACTGCTAATTTATATCTAATTGAAGTGTTTAGAGTGAAGCAAACTCTTGATAAAGGTTCATTATCTGCAAATGATTTTATTCGTGATATGGTGAAGAAAATGAAGGAAAAGTTTGACAAGTATTGGGGTGAGTGCCACCTTGTAATGACAATAGCTTCTGTGTTAGATCCACGGTTCAAGATGAAGTTTGTTGAATTTTGCTTTCCAACACTTTATCAAAATTTAGACGAGAACATTAAAGAAGTGAAGAATACACTTTATGAAATGTATTCAAAGTATTTAGAGATGCATGATACATTAGTTAGGGAATCTGCAGCACATGGAAGCGAACATGAAAGAAATGTTTTAGGGTGTAATGAAGGTACATCACTTGGATCTGGATGGGAGGTGTTTGGAGAGTTCATAAAGACTGTAGATTTGGAGAGACCAGAAAATTCAGAGCTTGATATGTATTTAGAAGAAGGTGTTTATAGGGAGAAAGGACAAAGAGGAATGGAATCATTTAATGCTTTAGAGTGGTGGAATGTGCATAAGTTAAAGTGTCGTGTTTTGTCATTGATGGCTAGAGATGTACTTGCAATCCCGATTTCTATTGTTGCATCTGAAGCAACTTTTAGTGTTGGGGGTAGAGTTATTGATCCATATCGAGCTTCATTGGGGTCCAACACGGTACAAATGTTGATTTGCGTAGGAGATTGGATTAGGCAAGTTCATGGAGTCAAGAAAAAATTAAAGGTATATTTGAAAAAAAATCAAAACCACATTATAATTGTTATTTTAATAGTTTGAACTATTAATTGTCAACCTTTTTATTTTGTAGAAGGAGGAGTTTCCTATTGAAGTTTTACTGCCTAAGGTGAACACAAAGTAATTAAAGGTAATTAGATGTGTTAAACAACAAATTCTTAATCTGAAAAATATTTCAAAAAATGGTTCCTTTGTACATTTTGCAGGTTTTGTGTATCCGAGGAGTGAAGTTGCATAAAGGAAGATTTGTCTATTTCTACTCGTTCAGTAATTATGAGTTTAACTACTATTTTTGTCATTTGAGTTTTTACTCTTTATGTTTTTATATTTGGTTATATTTTAGACATTAAATTAATGCAAATGGAGAATCTATGAATGTATGTTTTGAAGTTAGAATTTGGATTATTCCCTTGAATATATGATAAAAAATTAAACGAGCCCAAAAACCATAAACGAGCTCGAGTCGAGCCGAAGCTCATTTAGGCTCGCGTGACAAACAAAACGAGCCGAGCCCGAGCCGAGCTCGAGCTTCTTATTTTTCCTACGAGCCGAGCACGAGCTCGAGCCAACATACATTTATACGAGCTCGAGCTCGAGCCAACATACATTTATACGAGCTCGAGCCGAGCTTAGGTATGTTCGGGCTCGGCTTGGCTCATTTACACCCCTAACTGGAATGCTCTGCTCTTCACCAATGGAGCATCTGGCTTATCCTAGTGGCCATCGATAATCCTCATAGTAGCTGGCATGGGAGCCGCCACTGCTCCTCCTGTCAATCTAGTGCAATCAGTTTTCCTTTGTCCTGTTTGATTGCAATGGAAGAAAATCAGACCTGATACATAGGTACAATCCCTACTCATGTGACCAATATTGGAGTACTTGTAGCAGCCTGAACCACTGACTCAACACACCCTATTGTGCGGCTTCCTGCACTTTCCAGAATAACTCCGACCCTGTTGGTTTCTAGATCATGAGTCAAAAGTCTTGGGCTTCTTCGTTGATCCCTCTAATGTCTATTCGTGAACTAGCTTCTTCCTTTTCAGAAGCTCCAAATCAATCTCCTGTTGCTGGGCTCTGGAAATCATGTCATCTAAGGTCCTGCAGCTGGATATACTCACAAACTCTCAGATGTCATCCCTCAACATATCATGGTATCTCGTCTTCTTCATCTCCTCGTCTGTGAAATACTGCGGAACCAACAAAGCTCTTTCCCGACACTTGGCGGTGATCTTCCCCATAGTCTCCATAGTCTCTAGAAGGTCTGAATGTCCCTCGCCACCTGGTGAACTTCAATAGCTGGTGCAAACTCTACTCTTAATCTCAACACAAAATCCTCCCATGACATTGTTGCCACAACCCCATCTCCCAAATAGTGTCCAACCTCATCTTACCAAGCGTGGGCTCCATCTTGAGAATGCAGGATATGAATCCCACCTTCTACCCCTCCGGGCAGAAGCTCGTTCGCCGAGATTCTCCATGTCATCAATCCCTCGTCGGCTAGCAGTGGGGTTATCTTAGACGTGATGAACTCGCGTATCCTCTCGTCAATCAGTTCGGAATTAGAGCTAGAACCATAAACTAAAATCGAACCTCCTCCTCGAGTTCTCACCACCATATTGAAATACAACATACAAACGATAAAAAAAACTCAAGGTAACTCTCACACCACAAACTCCTTAGGATCACTGTCATTTTCCTTGATTTGAGTATGGATCATGTGCTTCCAATAGTACCGACCCAATACTACCTTCCACACATATCCGTACTTACCTAAAAACCATCCTAAATCCTCTAAGTCACTTTATCAAGGAAGCTGACATAAGTTCTATGCTAAAAAACATACACATCTCATCATTCTATTTACTATGCTTTCTTAGGAATCCTTACCTCAATTACTACTGCGATACCAGGAACTTCTACCAACATTGTTTGTTGCCTTATGCATGCAATTTATACACAATACGAGATCAAATAGACTGTCGAATAAATGATTCTACCCTAAGCCCAGAACCTGACAAGGACTAAGAAATAAGGCTAAATCAGTCATTCTAAGGCTATATGATCCTAATCGTATACAATTTTTAAACATACACTTAACAATCAAATTTGTCAATATAGCTTCCAAGTAATACATAACATACAATTCCTCCTAGGCTACATAACATCATACAAATCAGACAATTCTATCATGCGATTCCTGAAGGTAGCCTTAGCCCTGCTCTAGCATGCAATTCACAAAATATCATACTAAACATAATACTCATGTACGGGTATTTTGGGAATCACTTACTTGAGCTCGGGTGATTGCATGCATTGCCCTTTCTTTACCAAAATCTTTTTAGAAAATTTGACTTTTCTTTCAAAAAGATTATTAATTCCTCAATTTAAGTTCAGAGCACCCGAGAGTATGCCTGAATCCCTCAAACCAGGGTCTGATACCAACTTATAACATCCCAAAAACATGAATAAAAATTTTCATTTTTAATTCATCAATTTACATAGTATTTGTCCTAAATATTCATCATAGTAAAATGTATCATAATCATCAGAGTAAACAAGAATCATCAATGTGGAAAACCCTCATCAGAAAATGTTGTGAAGTCATGTCGGACCCTCCCTTTGGAACTGGAAGTACCAGAAAATGTTCAAACCACAAAAACATAAGCACAAATCTTAGTGAGTTCCCCAAAATACCACATACCATAAATACATTGCCACGAGCTACCACTATGGTCTTACATACAAGTTTCATGGGATACCCCCATGTCCTTTCCTTGCATTACCATGGCTACCCACATGGTCTCATGTATAAGTGCCATGGGTTACCCCCATCGTCTTTCCTCGCATTACCATGGCTACCCGATGGTCTTATATATAAGTTTCATGAGCTAACCCCATGGTCTTTCATACAAATGCCATGGGGTACCCCCTTGAGTCTTCCATGCAAGTATCATAGGGACAATTGACATCCTACACATGATAGTGAGAAGACTCAGCTGTCTAACGAATTTAGATAAACCATATCTAACTTTCATGCAACCAATGCTACAACATATCTATCAATCAAACAAGGTCCAACCTTATTCTATACCCCATAACTAGCATTTTGACCAAAAGTCAACCCATGTCAAAAATTCAAGAGTCAAAGTAAACTGCCTAAGTCAACCCTAGAAAGCCACCACGTCGTAGCCTCCTATTGGTCACGTCATGGCATGATAAGGACAAGATAGTCGCTCCTCCCCCCCCCCCCCCCCAGTTTCCACGTCGTGACAGCCAAGACGTCACATCGTGAAAACTGGCTCACAACAGCTTAATGGATTAAGCCATTTTCCATCCCTTCTGTGAGCTCAAAGTTCAGATCTGATCCTTCCTAAGGTCTTGACGGATAAATTTTCCAACTTTATCCATTAAGACATCCCAATAAGCCAAGATCTCAAAACCTACGTCCTTAATGGCTATTTATGACATGGAGTCAACCATTAAACACTTAATCCTTAAAGTATAAGGTCCAAAACTTCCAAAAAGGTTTTAGGGACCCTAATGATCCCTAAAAATGCAAACTTTATAGACATGCAGAACCCATGCATGTCCTTCCTCAAATCTAGGTTAAAATATGAAATATGACCTAAAGTTTCATGCAGAACCCCCAAATCACAACCACATCCTATAGTGGTGTTGATTATGATGGCATGTGCGAAATTAGAAAAGATCTAATGAATCATCATACAAATTCAAGAACACATGGAGTAAATAAATCTTTTAAGCTCTCATTAGTATGAATTAAAAAGAGTACAAATGGGTTTGCTAGTTTCTCTCTCTAAAACTAATTATCTCCAAATGGTTCATTACATAAATGAGTGTCTCTCGCTTCCTATTTAGAGGAAAGACAACTCATTACACAACACAAGAGGGAAAGACTAACACTCCACATCCAAGCGTGACTTTGCACCCTAACATTTACCCCCTCAAAGTTAGGATTGGATGTTCCGACCACAATATCCAACGAGCTCGTGTGATCAAGACCAAACTCCCCCTCGAAGTAACACCGGTCTTCAAATACGCAAATGAATACCAAAAAAATTCGCTTCGAATACCCATCATTCTCCCCCTTTTTATAATCAAAAAGTGATTATAAAACCCATTAAGGGAGAGAAACGCCCGAGGAATGAACTTCACAATACTCCCCCTTGATGTGTACCAAAAATGAAACACCCAAAAAACTTGCACCGAAAAATAATCACGAAAAAGCCTCGAAAAAATTTCCAATTTATGAAAATTTTCGACTTTTCGGTGAGAGTTGCAAGATTTTTCGAAATTCGGGTAAAAATTGTCACATTCTGAATTCTGCAGGGACACGTTGCGCCAAAAACAACTTAGCATGCGAAACACTCCTCCATTTGCGAAACTGGGCATAAAGTGTAAGTTCGCACCAACTGTAGCGACTAAACTTGTAAAATCTTCAATTTCACAGCTTTATTACCCCAAATTCGAAATAGGGTATTTTCTGCCAAAATTTCGAAACTTCAGGGACTCTTTTCGAAAGTTCTTCACAATGCTTCAAAATGTCTAAATTATACCCCAATGTGGAATATGGGCATAAACTGCAAAGTTCGACAAAAGTGTAGGGGCTCATTGCGAAAATTTTGCCTTCTTCATTACCTTTTTATACTAATGTCGAAACTGGACCACTTTTGCCGTATCTTCGAAACTTCATGGACCAATTTCAAAAGATGTTAGTTTTCTTCTCCAATTCATTAGCCAGATCGTGAATCCGGTGACGAAGTCTTCCCATCTCCTTCCCAACTCGTTATCAACTTTCGAAAGTGAGACATTAAAATCTTCGTTAGTCGATACTCGATTCTCACAACCAAACATTCGAAACTTATTAAACCAATTCATCAAAACCTTCGAAATCAATTACTCAACCTACATGTCACAACTTTCGAAGATTATCAACCCAAGTTATCGACTCCAAAATCTTCGTTATCACGTCCCACAACTATCGACATCAAAATACAAAAACCAACACTTTGAAAACAAACTGGAAGTCATCAACATTAATACTTCAATTCGTCAAAGCAATGCTCCAAGCCTTCAAAATCCATTCACAGATTGCCATTGAAA